GGTGCTAATAACTCTAGCACAGGAAAAAATTAAAAATAATAAAAACTAGCCATGAAGTTATTGTGTTTACTAACCATGAGTCCATAAGACTAGCATTTTTAAAAGGCAAATTCCATTCAGTGGCCATTAAAACAATTACGTTTAAAGGTCAAACATTTGACAGTATAATTCATGATCAGTAACATTTGCTCACATTTCATACTATTCAAAGGAGCAAGTTTTCATTATACGTTTTGAACATAAAATAGCTACTAACCTCTTTTTTTCCCACACATATTTCTAGAACTGGCAACTATAACATATTTTTTTAAATATCTTATTCCCAATTTTTCAATCTGGCTTTCTGTCATAATTTTAAAATAATACAAGCAAATTTTAATGAAGGTAGCATTATTTAAAACAGAACATGAATTAATAGGATGATGACCCATGCAATAGAGCCATGACATTTTTCCTTGCCATTATTTTAAAGGAAATAAATTATAAAATGATATGTGCATGAATCAGATAAAATGCTATTATTTAAAAACAACCTTACCAAAAATGTTTGCAGCTATAAATTTAAAGCCCCTTCATCTTTCTGCAATATCTTTAGTATTAAAAGAACTTTTTAAATTCTTCTGTAGTCCTTGTGCTGCCAGTTTCATGAAACATAAATCCTTCTATGAAAGAATAGGACTCTTGCTAAATAACATCAGCCTGCTCCGCTTTATCTTCTCCCTCCAGGAAAGTCATCCACAGCAGCAACAGCTATAATCAATTCTTGCAAAAAAAAATCTTTTTATAAAAGCAAAACCCACAGAAGAGTTAACTTTAAAACAGAACATGCTACATTTTTAAATCCTTTGAGGTTTAATATAATATGAAAGCAAATCTCAGGAAGCAATACAATTAGTCTTTTCAGTAAAACAATTTTGTATTAGAGTCTAGTGCTGAGTTGATTTATGTAAATGTGTTACTTAGCCTCAACTTAAGATATAAATCCAGAGTAAACATAACAATGGCAATCCCGACAGTCTGCTTTGCCAAATCAGAAGATTTAGTCAGCCTAGACTAAAAATGAATTAAGATTATATTGAGAGTGTCAGTCCTAAGTCAAGAAAACATGCCCAGCCGGGGCACGCCAGGGAGAAGATCACTCATTAACGAGCCAGCAATGCTACAAAGCTTTTGCTCGTCTGGGAAAACATGTTCCCAGTTTTAAACTCCACAGCAAATCAAGGCACTCTTTTTAAATAGGTACATTTTCGGTCTCTTTCCCCCTCATCAATCCCAAAAAGAGACTCGGCTTCTCTGTTTATTATCTGCTTAACTCTACATGTCAAACTAGAATAGGCCTTGTATCCTTTAAGGTAACATGGGCCAGTGTCTGAGGTGGAGTGTAAGACTCGGGGCTGTGGGGAGTTAATGCCTCCCTTCTCAAAACAACTTTCAAGTTGTCTTTTAACAGCTAGTTCCCAGAATTACATATTAAATTTCTTTACCATGATAGGTAACAGTTATATATCCCAAAGAAATCCGACTGGAATATCTGGCAGCAGATTTCTGTCTCTGTCTCCCCAGACACGTTCACATACAGCTTAGAGGCAAGCAGGTCAGGCATGCTATACAGAGGTCTGTCTATCCAAGCCTGAAAGTAAATAAATTATTTTGTGAAAAATATCCTTAGCAAGGATCAGTATTATTGTCAGTGTGACTTTGAAAATTCTAAAGGCATGCCAGAAAGAAGGCTACATAAAATTCAGCAGTTTCCAAATCATACACAGTACAGAGATTCTCATACCCACTTAATCTCAGCACGCATCTCCACCCTTACTTCCTTCCCAATGGTATGTGGTCTTGAAAACACAAATGTTCATGTTTCCTGAAGCTGAGCTGCAAAGGAAAAGTCTCCTCCCAAGAGGCAGAGCTGTAGGCTTTTGGTGGCCCTGAATTGTTCACTATAGTACAACATAATGTGACACCACAACTAGCCACAGGGAAACAGTCTTTTTTTCACCTCTGATGTCACATAATAGATTTGAGATCACATCAGTGGGCAATGTTACCTACAAGTATTTTCAGAAATCTTGTTAAAAGAGCCACAATACTGCAAGCCTAACTTGAAGTGTGAATGCTGAATGCTTCTCTATATCTCATCTTCACCAATACTTTACTGGTTGAAGAGTGAAAAATGACAGATGCAAATTATTTTTCAGAAAGTAGACATTTCCACTGGTAGTTCTTCCTCCTAAGTAATGTTTTCTTCTCTCTCATTCTCTACCCCCACCCCCACAGCGTTCTTCCTCCCTACACACACATACACAAACCCACACAGCACCCCCCCAACACACACACACACACACACACACACACACACACACACAGAGACACAGGAAGACATCCATTAATATTAAGAACAGTCTTCTGTAATGTTTTTCAGAATTTCTCAGGGGCTTAGAAGGGCGGCAGCCATGCCAAAATTACAAGCTTTCCTCTAGTCAGAAGGGATGTCTTTTCAAAGCCCAGCCCTCATTTTTCAGTCTGATGTAAGTAAATTTACCTCTGTGTGCTGGGCTGAGCAGATTTTCTTTGTCGTTTTTGTTTTTCTAATAGCCGCTGCTCTGGCAGAGCTATTCATTTCAAAGGGAAGTTAGAAGCATTCTTCACTCTTCCCCTTTTAGATTATTCGCAGTTACTGACTCTTCTGAAATCTTAGATTTGAACAGAAACCTAAAGCACAGCACCATTTTAAAACAGCAAATCACCAGCATTCCTGGGATCACATTTCTCTAGAACAACTATCCAATATGGGGCACAAGAATTAAGTCTAACTGGGCTAAAATGGACAAAATTAAAGACAAAGCATTATCTCTTTTTTAAAAAAGGGGGACTACTCTGCTCTGACAGCCTGCTAAAGGATAACCACCTTTTGGAAACATTGTTTCAGAACCAGAGAAGAGGTGGTGGAGTTCTGTTTACCCATTAGCTGAATTAACTGATTTCTTAAGAAACTCAAATGAGCTGTAGTAAGGTAGTCAACTTTTGGAAACATTATTTAGGTAACAGATAAGAGATAGTGGGATTTTGTTTTGAAGTTAATTCACTTCATGAGAAAGTCCAATCAACAGTCATAGACCATAAAGCTGATAAGATCTATGATAAAATCCAGCGGGTGAACTATCAGTAAAAGTTCTTAATTTGCCCATGTCCCAATGTATTCAATGGGCCACAGTTTGCAACGGCTGGACCTTGCTCTCCTTCCTTCTGATGGGAGTTGTTTTACATGGACAAAGCCAGGATCATGGTCTCTGAATGCTCCGAGAGGTTAAGCCCTGTGAATTCTACCTCTATGTCATATGTTTAAATGAGTAACTCAGAGTTCAGTATCTTTTGGTTCAGCCAGAGTCAACTTTTTCTTTATCAACCAACATTAACCTACTCTAATCATTGAACACACTTGAATTCATATCAGTTCTGGGATTTTGGTAACCATCAATCTTAAAGTCATAGTAAGAAGAAGAATAAAGGGGTATCAATGCAGTTCAGGCAAACAGGGAAGAAAAAGTGCAAGGCACCATGATTAGGAAATCACACCAGGCTAGGAAGATGCTCATTAACATAACCTGAGTCATCCCATTCACCAGCATTACCTGGAAGAATGATATCTGTGTATATAAGTGAAAACTTTATCACATCCAGGGGCTTAAGTCCTTTAGCATCTTTATTTCCTAGTTGTGAGTATTTATCTAAAAGGACATACGTATAATGCTATCCTATATGGCATACTAAGAAACTGATCTAAAACTAAGCCTGCAGGAGAGAAGAGATGTTACATTCCTGGGGCAATTTTCAAATGGCACCAAAAACAGATAAACGCAGCAGTAAGAACGAAATCCCTTCCCCTCACTTCCTTATCTCTAGTTTTCTTTTATGTTAGTGTGAATTCAGTAACCATAATATGCCGTCTAATTCTATTATGCCAAAATACTAAAAGCTATTGATGTTCAAAACCCTACCAGTATACCAAAAACTTTAAAACTAGGA